GTGGGAGAACCACAGCCTGACTGTTGAGGAGGAGAAAGGAAATTCAGGGAGGACACCCCAGAGGGGTGGGGGTGGTGTGTGTGTCTCCCTCTTCCAGACAGAGCTTGATTTCTTCCAGTGTCTGGCTTCTACGGCCTCCCTCAACCAGCCTCAGCAGCCTGAGCGTTCACTTCTTCATGCTTCAGTGCTCTGATCTGTAAAACGGTGTAATCCTACTGCCACCAAATGAAGTCAGACACGTGAAAGGCTTAGGACACTGCTTGGCACCTGATAGACACAGTGTTGGCTCCGGCCAATGCCATGATCAGGGCACCTTCCCCCTCCCCCCACCGACCCCCTGGGGTGAAAGAGCTTCCCCTTCTCTCCTTCCCCACAGATGAGTGTTCTGCTCTGATCTTGTCAGTTTGTGGTTGTAGCACTTTGTCACTCTCTAAGGAGGTGCCCGGATTACTTAGAAGCTTCTGAGACACGACAGCCCGACAGCAAGAGGTTTTTCCCCAGGTCTGTCACCTACCTGTGGCTGGGGCTCCATGTGCAGTGCCCGCTATCAGGGGTGCCCTGTCCTCTGTCGCGGGGCTTGGTGGCAGCCAGCGCTTAGTCCTGTGGGCTCTTGGAAAATTGCTCACATCCATGATAAAACACTTGGTGGAAAAAAAAAAAAAAAAAGATGCTCCCATTGTTGAGAACATCGGAGCCCATCAGCATCAGAACACTGAGCGTCTGTGTGGAAACACAGAGGGAGGCCCCTAAGACTCCATGCTCCCCTCCAGCCCGCTGCCATGGCCTGGCAGGTGTCTGCTCCCTTCCCTTCTCCAAGTTGCTTTCTGAAACCCCGATGACAAACACGTAACCATCAGACACTCTCTCAAAGGATTTGCTTCGCCTCTACCGCTCTCTGTCACAGACCTGGGCCTCCCTCGGGGCTCAGGGGCACGGCTAACAGAGAAAGTTCAGGTGGCTGAATGGCGGCTGGTCACCTGGCAGGGGACTGGCCCCGAGTCTGCCTTTTCTTGGTGCCACTCATGGCGGCAGACCGAGAGCTGAGTCAGAGAGGCTGGAAATGGCCAAAGGCCAGGGATTTTCCAAGAGGCAGGAAGAATGCGTTCATCTCTTGCCACGAGTGCTTGGGATGTTCTGGTCCCACCAGGACAAACCAAGAAAGTAGCTTCTGCCGCCACAAAGCAGGCACTGGTCCCTGGCTTTGCTGCTTCAGACTACCTGTGTGGCCTTGAGTGTGTCTCCTGAACTGCCAGGTGCCTTATTCAGTAGGGAGGAGAATGGACAGATGACCCCTAAGTTCCCTTGCTCCGTGATCACTCTGTGGGGTGTAGAGATATGACCTGGCACTGTGGCCTTTGTCCCCGGCAGTGGCCCACCTACGTGCTCTGTCCTCTGTGGTCATTGATGAAGCCAGAGTGAGGCAGAAATGCACTCCCTTTGCTTTCAATCCAGGTAATTCACCCCTTCACCAACATCAGGCAGCCTGTAGTGTTTAAAGACGTGGGCCATTGGGGCGCCTGGGTGGCTTAGTCGGTTAAGCGTCCGACTTTCGCTTAGGTCATGATCTCGCGGTTCGTGGGTTCGAGCCCCGCGTCGGGCTCTGTGCTGACTGCCAGCTCAGAGCCTGGAGCCTGTTTCAGTCTGTGACTCCCTCTCTCTCTGACCCTCCCCTGCTCACGCTGTCTCTCTCTATCTCTCCTAGAAATAAATAAAACATTAAAAATAAAAAAATAAAGACGTGGGCTATTGACTCAATTGTCTTGGGCTCACAGCCTGAACTCTGGCCCTTCAGTATTAGCCAGACACAAAGGGGAAAGTTCTCAGATGGAGCAGCTAATCCCATGTGGACAGAAAGAATCTGGCTTCATTCCTGATCAGACATTTCAGCTTTTAGGCTGGGCTTAGTGACAAAGACAGAATGGGAAGTGCTTGAAGAAGTCATTTGCAGCATCTCCATCAATAATGAGGCTCGTCTGTGTGGAGATTGAGGAATATCTTGCTACTCTTTTTATTTTATTTATTTATTTTTTTACATCTGAAATTTGGTAGAAGCTGGACATTGCTTGAAAAAAATATTTCCCTACAACTAACACCTGCTTAATGAAAGTGAATTTGTAGTTTTGGAAACACATGACATTTTGAAAACACATTTTCATTTTTGCGTAATGAGCCCACTTCAGTAGGAGCGGTAATCTCCTTATTGAATACTTACTGAGTGTGCAGAAATGGAAGGGGGTAGTGACCATGTCAATGGCTTCTAGAGGAGATGCACTTTCCCAATAGGTGTGCTCTATGCCCTGGTGAGAAAAGGCATCAATTTAAAGTCTCTTCTGAAACATCACCTTGTTCTCAGCAAGTTCGTGAAGCAGTCTTGCGTGGCAGAAAGAAAAGTCTTTATCCTTGTTGGCTTCTAGGAGGTCTAGCTAGCAGCCTGGGGCTCTGAGGATTGACCATTAACATGAACCCAGCCTCTCCTGCGTACTAGGAAAGTCCACAAAGTCTAAGGGGGTGACCAGGACCAGATGGGCACAAGAAAGCACTATTGTAAATAATCTGACCTTTGGTAGATTGAAATGCTTCCCGTGCTTGGAGTGGACTTCTTCCTTAATGGGGACATTTACCTCCTAAGTTATATATTTCACAAGGTTGTATTTTCATACCTGCTGTAAAATCAGTGTTCCTTAGAGGAGAACATCTGTAAATAGACCATCACTCTGGGCGAGGTAAACCCCAAGGTGCACTTAGTCTGCTCTCTGTTTACTGATTGCTCACCTGGTCTCCTATACATGCAACATCATAATTTCTCTGCGCCTCATGTATTTACCCCTTACATTTCTTTCACTCTAGGCACTGGGGTTGCACGTTGTGTTTGGCTGGGCGCAGGGACCTTTTTGGGCTGCTAGTCACATGCTCCTTCTCGTCTTGCTTCTGAGGCCTGATGCACCTTTCTTAAGGAGCCTGCCTTAGTCCTTTTCTTCTTTCCCAACCCCTTCAAAGACCAGGTTAACTTTGTTCCTTCTTGAAAAGCTCACTCTCACTAAAATCAAGTGAGGTGGGCATATCAGCTTCTTTACACATGGGACATAGCACTGCAGATTTGACAGAACACCTCCACGCTCTAGAACATGCCTGTCTAAACACTGCACCTGCCATAGAATACGTTGAGAGGTCTAACTTTGTGTTATTGACACTGTATATAAACTACCTTTTTTCCTGTTTCATCCTACAGGACTCTTGAATACTCACTGATGCTATTTGTCAGGATATAAGCTCCTTATAAGGACCGAGTCTGCTATTCCTGCTCGGCACAATGGCCAATAGATGCTAACATAAATATTTTGATGGCACTCAAAACAGCCCTGCCGATTCCTGTTGAATTCATTCATAATCTCTCGCTGCTCTGGAAAGTATGATTTTCTTGGTTAAGTAAAAAAAAATCACACACAGCATTACTTTTTCTGTAAGCCATGGGTATTTGCTCCAATTTCTAAGTAGAGATAGGAGGGAGACCATGCACTCCTTCTCTGCCCTGAATGGTCTTAAGTCATTTGGAAATGGTTTTTGGAATGACAGTGGCATTTAGGTGACAAAGTCAGGACTGTGGGAAGAACTGTTTATTTCTAATCTCTCAGAAAAACATTTTTTTTTCAGGGAGGACCCGATTTGTTTTCGATTTAGTGATTGATTTTTACTTTTCTTTTGGGAGCTTGTCAGGATGCAAGGCAAGCCAGAAGGGGCATTAAAATGAAACAGAAAATCCAGATTCAAATTTACTTATTACAAGAGCCTGTGAGTTTTCTGATGGCAGAGTCTAAGAAGAATGAGAAACTCTTTCCTGAAATGGGTTGGTGCAGAGAGCTTCTGTCTCTCCTGTCCTCTCCGGCTTCCTCCTTAAGGAAACAGACACTTAACCAAAATGGTGGGGAAGCCAATTCCATCTTTCCAGCATTCCACATTCCTCCCCCCAACACGTTCCCCCAATGAATGCTCACTACCCCTATGTGTGTACATACCTCAGATAAACCAACACGGATAAGATTAAGTCACCTTGTGTGGGTTCTTTCATTTTCTGTTTGTAGGGTAAAGGGAACACCTCCTCTCTCTCTTAAACCCCTGCCTTTAAACAGTGGTTGGATTTCATTAATAACTACAAAATGTTCAAATGTTGCATGTGAGCAAGTCACTATTCAAGACTCAATGTGCTATCACCAACCACGCAGAGGAGCTTTTTTACCTCTCAGAATAAAGTCATGTCCAAGGTCATAATTTCAGAGGCGACAACTCCAAACTTACGTAAAGAATGGGGGAGAGCTCAGGTGTGTATGATACTGTTTAAGCTTCTATCCACTGAAATAGAAAAGGTGGGTTTTTGAGAAAGATGGTGACATACAGCTTAATTTTATGATCAATGTTTTTTTAAACTCATCTTTAGGGGCACTTGGGTGGCTCAGTTGGTTAGGCCTCAGGTCATGAGCTCAGGGTTGGTGAGATAGAGCCCTACGTAGGGCTCTGCGCTGACAGCCTGGAGCCTGCTTGGGATTCTCTGTCTCCCTCTCTCTCTGCCCCTCCCCGGCTCCCTCTACTTCTCTGTCAAAATAGAGAAATATACATTTAAAACTAAATAAATAAATAAACTCATTTTTAGAGGAGGAAGTTGTAGTCAAGAGACCCATCCCCCAAACCTGGCTAAGAGCTAATTCCTGGAACCCTCATCCACCCATTCATCTTCGGTCCTTTGATTTCTGCCTGATGCCTCAGCTTGACAAGCAGTTGCCTGTTCATGGAATTATTTTACAAATCAGGAAGCCAGGTTTGAAAACTGAACCCCAGTCATCTTTAATTACTAACGTCATCCCCTTCGTCTGCGCACCAGGACATTTTTCTTAACAAATTGGGGGAAGGGGGTGGGGAAATGTAAGGTCTTTCAATGTTTTATTTTGTTGATTCTTCACACAGCAAGGAAACAACGTTAGAGATAAAATAAAATGCCAGTTAAATTCGGCTACTACCAACAACCAAAAAAACCTTAAACACAGAATTCAAAGCAAGCTGCTGAAAGGTCATCAAATAATCTCGGGTGAAATAATTTGTTAACGTCTGTGACAAATCAGGACCGGCCATCTAGTTCTTCAACTGTAAAGCTGCGAGAGGACCTGCCGAAAGCGCTTTTCAAAGATCCCTCACCCCAAGGGACAGCACGGAAAGCGCCACCTCGCCATCGCCACCGCAGCGGGGACCCGCCGAGCCGCGCGGGTGGGGCGTCAGGTCTTCCTCGGCGTCTTGCAAGGAGAACGTTAATTAGCGCTCGATCCCGCTTTCGGACAAGACGGGCTGGCGGCTGCGAAGTGCCTTGTTACCTGTTTTAGTGAACCGAGAACGCCGCCTGCGTCAATGGTGGTTGGTTTTGTTTCTAAGCAAGCGCCGTTGGTTACGCTACCCTGGGGGAAGGGGAAACACACTGGAGAATCTCAGGTTCTGAACTGTCTTTTGAAGAAGATCCCAGGACGTAAGAGCGAATACTCTCCGCCACAAAACACCTGGTTATGCGAGTCTCAAAAATTGCACTCTAACAGCCAGGGTACAAAAGCGGACCGACCTCCCAAGCCAGCGCGCCCGCCTCCCGCGGCACCGCGGTGCCAACCGTGCGGCCGCCGCCGAGGTCGGTCCTGCTAAGCCCGGGGCCGTCTGCACGGACTAATTGGGTTTTCTCGGCTTCCTGAGGTCAGGCAGCCTCCCGTGACAGGACCAGGCTGGTGGGAACAAGGGTGCCTGTGACCTCTGGCTGGGGAGAAGGAAAAGAACTCTTTCCCTGCCCTCGGAGAGGGGCCATTAGGCCCCCTGACTTGGCAGGTGTCGCCTCTTTGAGCCTTGGCGCTGGGACTGGTCTCCTGACTCACCCAGAGCAAGGCGCGCGGTGCCTTAAAACCCACCGCACCCCGCCCCGCCACCACCACCACCAGGCACACGACTCCGGGACCGGGGGAGACGGACGCTGGGCAAGAGTGGGGCTGGGAGCGAGCGCTTGCCGCCCAAAGAGGCAGGAATCCGCTCAGAACCCCAAACGTCCCCGGCGCTCCGTCGAACATCCGCTCGCGTCACTTTAATTTCCCCGGGGTGGGGGCGGGGAAGGGGGCGCCCCACAGTCCCTTCCTCGGGCCGGGAAGGTTGGAAGTGTCCTCCGTGCCCGGCCCGGCTGTCCCCGGGTGCAGGGCGGGAGGGGCGCGCAGAGAAGCGGGGCGGCAGAACGCGGGGCCGAGGTTGCGCCCCGGGCCCGGGCGGGCTCTCACTTGGAAAACTGAGTCTGCACGGCGGCCAGGCCCAGGCCGGCGGGGACGAGGTGCGGGAACTTGCAGACGGCGCAGGTGCAGAGGCCCGGGCCCGCCGCGCCGCCGCCCGCGCCGCCGCCGGGGAGCGCGAACTGGCCGCACGGCGGCTCGTCGAGCGCCAGCGACAGGTACTTGGCCGGGCGCAGCGCGTCGGGAGGCCCCACGGCGCCGGGCGCCAGCAGCACGGAGCCGGGCGCGGCGGCCAGCAGGGGCAGGCCGGCCAGCAGCAGGCGCGGCGCGGCGGGCCCGGCGCCCTCGCCCAGCGCGCGGCGCAGCTCCTGCAACGAGCTGCCCAGCAGCAGGATGTAGTTGCGGGCGAGCAGCAGCGTGGCGATCTTGGAAAGCTTGCGGCCGGGCGCGCCCTGGCAGTGCGCCGCCGAGTAGGGCAGGATGACCTCGCGCAGCGCGTCCATGGCCAGGTTCAGGTCCTGCATGCGCTTCCGCTCGCGGCTGTTGATCTTGCGCCGCAGCTGCTGTTGCTGCTCCTCTTTGGCGTCCGCCCGGGAGCCGCCGCCCGCGTGCGCGCCGGGCCCGGCTCCCGTACCCAGCGGCTCGGCGGGCGCCTCCGGCTTCTCGCGCGCCGCCTTGGGGAGGAGGGGGGCCGTCGTGGAGGAGGAGGAGGTGGACGAGGAGGAGGAGGAGGAGGAGGAGGAGAGGGAAGACGGCTGCCGGTAGCCCACCAGCTCGTACAGGGAGGCCCCGAGCTGCACGTCTCCGGGCCGCTGTGGCCGCAGCATGGTCGCGGGGGCCGCGTTCACGCGCGCCTGGGAAAGCGCATAGTACATCTGGGGGGCGGCGGGGGCGGCCGAGGGCGCCCTACAGTGACGCCCCGGGGTGGGCCCTCTGGCAGGCCGCTCCTCCCCGCGGACCTGCGCGCGGGGAGTCGATGGCAGGCCAGCGCCCGGCTTCCCACCCCTTTAAACCCGGCTTGGGAATCCGCGGGGCCGCGGGCCGCGGGGCGCAGCCAATGGGGGCGTGAGGCCGGGTCCAGGCGCGCGCTCATTGGCCGCCCCGCCGCAGGCCCGCGCGGAGGTGCGGCTGGCACCGCTCAAGACAGTCATTGTGAGCGCCCGTGAGTGAGTCACAGGACCCGACCCCAGAGCCGGGGAAGGGACCCAGGCTTTTCGGATGAAATGCGGTGGCTCCCGGAGAACGGGTTGCACTGATGGGGCTAAAAGTCGTGCGCCTACCCCCTGCCCCTCTCTGCCTCTACTTTATTGTATACATGTGCATATTCGTTTTAAATTGTAGTAAACGCAACAACATGTACTATCTTAACCATTTGGACGTACACAATAGTGTTGAGTCCATTCACGTTGTTGGGCAACCAATCACAGAAATCTTGATCTTGCAGCACTTGAACTCGGTGCTCGTGAGGCAATGATTCCCTGACCAACGCTCTGCAACCTTGGCAACCACCATCCTTCTGTCTGGGCATTGGTCTCCAGGTACCTCATCTGAGTGGAATCCTGAATATTTGTCTTTTAGTGACCATATGCATGTGGTAACACGTGTTCGAATTTGCTTCCCTTTTATTTATTTATTTATTTATTTATTTATTTATTTATTTTAATGTTTTATTTATTTCTAGGAGAGAGAGAGAGAGACAGCGTGAGCAGGGGAGGGTCAGAGAGAGAGGGAGTTACAGACTCTGAAACAGGCTCCAGGCTCTGAGCTGGCAGTCAGCACAGAGCCCGACGCGGGGCTCGAACCCACCAACCGCGAGATCATGACCTAAGCGAAAGTCGGACGCTTAACCGACTAAGCCACCCAGGCGCCCCCGCGAATTTGCTTCCCTTTTAAAGGCTAAACGATAGTCCAGTGTGTGTGTGTGTGTGTGTGTGTGTGTGTGTGTGTACCGTACTTTGTTTACCCGTTTCTCCATGGATGGACAGATGTGTTGCTTCTGCCTTTTGGCTTTTGTGAATAACACTGCAGTGAACATGAGTGGAACATGTTTTTTGTTTTTGTTTTTAGGGGGTTTTGTTTTGTTTTGTTCTTTGTTCTTTGTTTTAAGTGTGTGATTTCCTGCCAGTTTTGAGGACTAAATTTCTGGGCTCAAGGACATGTAGTATTAGAATGGCTGCAACTGGCCACTCTGTCTCCTCTCCCTCTGATGGAAAGATCTTTAAGGGACTTAGGAGCTTTTTAGGTCAGGTTTCTTTCCTCCCCAAAAGGGACATGTATTCGTTCTATCCGTGACTCCACTCTCTAAGCCTCATTCTTGTTTAAGCAAAAACTCCCACAGAAATTGGGAGAAACAAATAAACAAACAGAAATCCACCCATGAGTTCATATCTGTTGAGGGTGGGACTATATCTTTCTCTTCCCCAAATAGCATTACTCGCTGGCTCTGGAAGTTTTCTACCCCAAGGCCAGGGTTAGGACTGCAGCCTGTCATCAGAGCATGGGGGAGAGGGCTTTGGTATCTAAGCCTCTACCATCTGCTAGCCCCCGGTGGCCATGAAAATCTAATTAAAATAAAATCAAGGTAGAATTCGAGTTCCCCAGCTGCACTAACATGGCTTCAAACATTTAGTAGTTCCAGGTGGCTAGAAGCTGTGGACAGCACAGGCGGAGAACATGACCTCCATTGCAGAAAGTCCAGTTGGACCGCATGATGCCAAGGGAGCAGAAGGAAAATGAACTTCTCCACCTTGGTCCTCTTTGGGGTAAGAAGAGGGACATCCATCCACCACGGGAACTGATTTCAACTCTAGGGACCTATTGGGCTGGGCTTGCTGATTTCAAGGTGGCTTCGTTCCCGTTTTCTTCCATCAACATTTGCCCCCCAGGCTCACCCTGACTTCTGCTTCCGACTCCCAGCTCCAGCTCTGCCTGGGACATCCTGGCTGTGGCTCGGTCCAATCCCAAGATGGCTTTCTTCTTGAAGACTTGATGATTTCTCATCTTTCCCCCACTCGTCATGTTTGACAAACCATTGATAGCACTTCCCTTGACTTAGGTTGCTATGTGCTCTGCATTTGGGGATATGATCGTTTGGAGGGTGGGGACCACATAGTCACTTCTCTATCCTTCCAAAGCCCAGCTCAGTGCTTTGCAACTACCGTGTGTTCAGGGGGGTGTCTAGGGATTGGTCTGAAATCTCTGCAGCTTACAGGCTCGTCCCTTGAGATGTTCAAGCTCCCAGTGTGCTTTGATACAAGAGTTTCTTGTAGGTTTCATAGAGAGGAGGAGTTGGAGAGGTCTCTTAGGAGGAGAGACGGAGGCCTGGGCAGGAAGGAGCTGAGTCTCCAAGCAGAAATGTACTGGACGGGAAGGAGAGAGACCAAGCAAGTCACCTCAAAGTTTCCAAGCGGGTTAGTTTAACAGCTCACTAATCATTTGAAAATCATTCTGCTTTTCAAAGCAGTTTATAGATACCTAATTCTCACAGGAGCCCAGTGAACTGGGCACTTTAAAAAATCTCTGCTGTAAATGGTATAATTGAGGCTCCCAGGGGGTACTGGGTTTCTGGGGTTGACAGTGTGCTTTCAGACAAGAGAGGCAGAGCTACGTCATTAGTGGCTGGCTTCTAGAATTCCCTCCAGCTGAACCAGGCTTCCAGCAAGCCAAGAGGAGGCCATGATGGGGAGCTGGCAACTGGGGTAAAGGATGGAGGGACGAGCCTGGGCCAAGCCAGTACTGACAAGTTGATGGATTCCAACCAAGTCCCAGAGGAGAGGGCTCCTGTGGTCCCACGTCCACGAATCGTGCTCCAGCCCACTCTGGCAGTGCTCATCTTCACCCTGAGGACCCCTCTTTCTTGCAGCTGAGGTACCATCCTGGGGCATTCCTCCTCTGTCCACGTGCTAGGCAGGGGCCTGGGGCCTTACCCTGCCAACAGGAAGAGAAAGTGAACGAGAAAGGCGGAGCTAAAGCCTGGGACAGGGTGGCCTATACAGCACACTATGCAGTTCCCATCCACAGGTAGGGGCGCCCCAGGAATCAAAGAGATGGAAACATGCGTGCTGCCCTCCCCCGCAAAGGGCCTCTCTTTCCTGGGGGTGTCCCTGAGGGTTCCCTTTAGCTCTTGACCTCACCACGTTTCTGTCCTGGGAAGGAGAAGTCCCTTCCCCTGGCCAAGGACACCGTCAGTCAGACATGGCGGGCAGCATGCGCTGAAGTGCTCTCCGCAGAGCCCTACAAGGGAGCTCTGGGTGGCCGTGCGGGCCCGGCATGGGCCCAGGATTTGGCGCTTGTTGAAACTGGTGACTTGGATGGCCCCTTCTGCTGGACCGGAGCTCCAGTGGCATGCAAAGTGTGACAGCTGGCAAGGGCCAGCGAGTCATTATAGCTCCTGGCAGGGGCCCCGCGGGCTGTCTCGAGGAGAGGCAGCTGCTATGGCCTCCCACATTCAGGACATACTTGGGGAGCAACTCGCGTCCACCATAACAACCACTCTTGTCTTTGCCTAAAGGGGCCGTGTGTGTGTGTGTGTGTGTGTGTGTGTGTGTGTCTTCCTTTTCCTTGTATGGAAACCTAAAATGTCTCCCGCCCATCCTCTAAGCCCGCTGGCCACCCCTCGGTGGCTCGAACCTTTGACGTGGCAGACGGTTGGGACCCGATGCCTTGGGGAATGCGTGTGAGAGGAAACATGTGTTTGGGATGTAGCGCCATCCGCCTCCTTTGTAAACACAGACTGTGCCTCTGCAAAGCCTATGCCCCCCTCCCTCCGAAGCACCACACCCCCCCCCCGCCCCATTGTCGGCAACAGACTGTCGTCATCTCGAAGAAGGTCGGCTGAGTGTAAAAGGTTTGTCTTTGCTAAAATGTGCTGTTTCAACTGCCTGGAGCTTGGACCTGGGATCCAGTCATAGGGCTCACTTTTTAAAGTGCTACTTTCTTCGGAGACGGGCAAAATCCTTCGGAGAGTTTAAGTTAGAAGCGAGTTGTTAACATTTACACAGTCTTAGTGAGAAGGAACCACCGCCCCTGATGTTCGCCTGTGCTGAGTTTCATAGCAACACATCCTGGAACATAGAAGGCAGGGGAAGGGGCTGAGAGGAGACGGGCTCTCAGCTCCTTTCTGGGTGGAGGTGAGTAGTAGTTAATAGCAGAGAGAGAGAGAGAGAGAGAATACATGGGTCAGAGAAGGTAGATTACCCTTCGGTAAGTGTTCTTGGACTGAGCAGAGCTCCTGAGAGCTCCTCTCACCTGGTGACCACGGTGGCAGAATCTGTGTCACACATAGACACAGGTCAGGCCAAAGAAAGATTCCTGCTGGGAAAGTAAATTGAAAAGAATGTGAATTCTGTTCATTTTCAAAAGGGAGCACCGGTTAATTGGGTTGTGATGAGCTGACAGGATGCTCAGAGTGACTTACCATGTCATTGTCACAGTCATCCTCACTTCCAGGGTGGAAGCACAGTGTTCTCTGTTCTGGTTAAAATGCCAACTATTATCAATGTGTAGTATGTGTGTGTTTCAAATATTATGTAGTGTGTGTGTGTTACAAATATTATAGGAAAGTTTATTTAATTTATTTTCTTTTTTAATGTTTATTTATTTTTGAGAAAGAGAGAGGGAGAATGCAAGCTGAGGAGAGGCAGAGAGAGAGGGGGACAGAGGATCCGAAGCAGGCTCCCTGCTGAGAGCAGAGAGCCTGATGCAGGGCTCAAGCCTGCAAACCACGAGATCTGACCTGAGCCCAAGTCAGACACTCAACCGACTAAGCCATCGAGACACCCCAAGGTGACTTTATTTTTAATACATGTCATTTGGAGAGCTGATTTTAATAAACTTTGCTACTTACTATTATTTCCAAGTCCAAACTTGTCTTGTGACATTTTTTGTATATGGAAAAAGTTGGAAGAAAAATAGGGGAAACAATTAGAGGGCATCTGAGTATTTTTCAGACTCCTTTTTAGCAACAAAGGATTGGCTTGGACGTTGGTGACAGAGCTCAAGCAGATGGGCATATGGGATTTGGGGGTTTTGTTTATTTATTTTTTCAAACTCAGGGTGACCTAACAGAAATCAAAATTCTCATTGCTTCTATGAGTAGCAAGTGCTGAAATTCTACAGGTCACTAGCACTCTATAACACTACATTTTAGTACCTCTCCCTGCGTATTCGAAAAGGACTCTTCTTTAAAAGAAACTTCAAGGCATCCCTGTGGAAAGCACTATAAAAAGATAGGAACATCCTTTTTGTCGTTGTTTTAAAAACAGTTGGAGAGATTCTGCTTTCTACATCAAAACTTGAAAGCTCATTGGCAGCTCATTTTAGGCAGAGAAATGGAATGTCATTCCCAGAGGCCCTCCGAGTCCGAGTCCGTGTGAGAAGGAGAACTGTGAATTAAGATACATATATTAGCACATGCAACTTGATGTCTGGAGGGTTGGTTTGGGGCAGACCAAAGAATATTCTCTGAGTCTCCCTAAAGTCAGTTCTCTGAGTCTCCCTAAAGTCAGGAGCTGAAGCCAAATGTTCCAAAGGCTTCCATTGACACAATGAAAAGAGACAATTTGCTTGGAAGGCTGTGGCTAATTTATAACACAATGTCCAATGTCATGGTTAGTTTTGTTGCAAAAATTTGGCAGTTTAACCTAGAGTCTCAGGCAGCCTGAAAAGATGCGAGCAATTCTGGCTGCAGCATCTCTCGCTCGCTAGATGTTCCAAATGGTTCAAACAAGCTCTTTCATAGAGACGTGGGGCCAAGTGTGCTCAAAGGAATGAGGGAAACAAAGGTGGCTCTGAAGTCATTTCCCCGCACTGGGTCCAGCCATCCGGTTTCACTCTTTCCCCATTGAACGGGCAGAATGCAACAGGAAGAGCAGGGATAAAGAGAACAAATAGGCCGATGTGTTTGGGGAGAGAATGGGGAGAGGCCGTGGCGCTGAGCTGCTAAACTTCCATTCTAGGGTTTCAGAAAGGAGTGAATGATGAATTATAGAAACCTGAAAGGTAATAAAATATGGGTCACTGAAGCGCTGAGGCCAAGTTCCTAAAACACCTGCAGAGACAGAAGGTTCTGGAAGTCAGTGCGGCCCTGCAGTCGCCCCGGCAGACACCCTGCCTGAGGCACAGAAGGGGACTGTTCAGAAGCTCACCTGTTGTTTTCTCGTTGGCTCGCAGTCCTTCCCCGGCTGGATCTGACTCCGGATTAGACCACCGGGGGAAGAGAAAGGTCTCTTTCTCTTAAGGAGCCCGGAGCTGGGAGGCTACTGCCTTCCTCTCCAGAAGGCGCTCTGACCTGGAAATATTAACTTGGGTGGTGAAGGCTATCCACGTTAGACATGCAAATCTCCTCCGCTATGATATTCTGAGGCTTTTCTCCTCAAAGCCTCAGCCTATTTCTGTCTTACAAAGAAGAGTTCTGAGCCCTTGTTGGGGATAAGAGCTAGCTGCGTCAGCTGTACTCATTTGAGCCTCAGTTTCTTCATCTGTAAAATGGAAGTAATGGTATTTATCTCTGAGAGTTGAAATAAAGGTTAGAAGGAAGTAGAAGTCAGGGGCCTTGCCCAGAGTGAGGCACATAGTAGCTGCTTGGTAAAATGGCCCCAGTAGCTGGTATTTACTGAGCACTGGCTGTGTGCTGGGTACCACCGAAGACACTTGTTGTATGGTTTCTTTCAGACTCAGGTGGCATCCTGGTTTTGTTCCTTTAAGCTCGTGTTTTCTCTGCATCGAGGATCTGAGGTTTTCCAGCCCCTTCTGTCCGCAGGCTTGCTGAACACTGTGGATCTTCTTCTACTCACAGGGCTCTGTTTCAGAGACACCATCCTGGACACAACGAACCCAAACCCTATCAACAACTTGCTAATGGGATTATAGAAGTGTGCCCTCCGTGTAATCCCAGACAGCATCCGGGAGAGCTGTAGCGCGCTCTTGGAGCCCTGACTACCTGGGTTTGGCTTGTGTGACCTAGGACAAGACGCGCTACCTGTTAGCGTCCCAGTTTTCTCCGTCTGCAAAATGAGGGTGAAAATAGAACGTATCTCAAAGGATCATGGTGAGGACCGAGTGAGCAAGACCACTAGGGCACTGACAACACACGACACAGTGTCAGCCGCTATTGTGTTTTTATTAACCTCTGTTATGGGTTGATGTCTTCCCTAAATTCACATTGCGGTCCTCGCTCCCCCACCAGGTCCTCAGGCCTGTGACCTTATTTGGAAATAAAGTCATTTCAGATACAATTAGTTAAAATGAGGGCATCAAGGAGAGGGGCCTGATCCCATAGGACTGGTGTCCTTAGAAAAGAGGCAGAAATTTGGACACAGAGACATGTGAAGATGAAGGGAAAGATGTCCTGATGATGCTTCTGTAAATCAGAGCACACGAGACATTGCCAGCAATCACCAAAGCTGAGGGGCGGGGAAGGGATGGGACCGACTCTTCCTCCCAGCCTTGGAAGGAACCAGCGTGGCTGACACCTTGATCTTGGACTTCTGGCCTCCAGAACCATGAGACAGCACATTTCTGTTCCTTAAGCCCCGCCTTGTGTGGTACTTGGTTACGGCACCAGAGCTGACCGCCTAATCTCTAAGGCAACCCCCTCCTCTGGGGCGGTGGGTGGCCAGAGGCCAGGCTCTATAGTCAGACCCAGGGTGGCTCCAACTCAGCCTCCCACTTACAAGCTGTGAACCTGGGCAGGCCACTTGACCTCCCTGTGCAAGGTTAACTCACCTGCAAAATGAAGCTCATGATTATACTTCTGTTTACAGTCACTCACAGCAAAGATTAGATGGTTTCCTGCCTCACAGCCATATGAGCTGTTCTATGTAGCTTGTTGGGCAGCTTCCAGAGAGAGTGGGGTCTGGAGACAGACCTCTCCTCGGGATGAAATTACCTCGGGGTCTTGTTGAACTACAGCTTCTGGTTCAGTGGGTTTGGGTGGAGCCTGAGATTCTGTGTTTCTTTCTTTTTATTATTATTATTATTGTTGTTGTTGTTGTTGTTGTTGTTGTTTTTATTTTCTTTTAACATTTATTTTTGAGAGAGAGAGAGCAAGTTGGGGAGGGGCAGAGAGAGACAGAGGATCCCAAGTGGGCTCTGCGCTCACGGTGGGGGCTGGATGCAGGGCTCGATCTCAGGTGAGATCATGACCTGAGCCGAAATCAAGAGTTGGATGCTTAATCTACTGAGCCAGCCCCTGAGATTCTGTGTTTCTAGTAAACTTCCAGGGGAGGCTGATGCCTGTTGGAAGACATATTTTGAGTATTGTGTAGCAAGGGCCAGGATGACCTCACCTGGTCCCAACTAAGAAAATGAGACTATGTAAGAATAGCATTTTTAAAAGAAGCCCTGTTTCCTCATCCCCATCACTTGGGCACATGGATGTTTGAGGAGGTCTCCACCATGATTAAAGCAAGAGCAAAGTTGACTATGGAGAAAAGGGTGGGATATTAAGCAGGGGTGGGTGCCCTACAGCAAGGAGGTGAGGTGGACAGATACAGCTGGGTAGACCTGAGACCTGGGATTTGTCCTGCCCAGGAGGGTGGTGGTGGAGGAAGAGATGTGAGAAGGGGCAGTGTAGGCACGACGCGTGTCAGAACATGGGCCAGGCCCTCCTTCTGTGCGGCCCTCCATCCTTCACTCCACCTAGAAGCCTCAGCCTACGCCTTCTCATTGTTGGGCTCTTAGAGCAGATGTGAACCTTCTCAGACCACCCATCCTAATGGCAACCCCTCCCGATGGCCACTGTCACTCCCACCTGCCCTATTTTCTTCATGGCACTCACCAGCAGCTAACATGGCCTTGGCCCGTGTACTGTCGGCAGCACATATGCTAAAATTGGAACGATACAGAAAAGAGGATCATGGCGCCTGCGCAAAAATGATGACATGCAAATTCGTGAGGCGTTCCATAAAAATACAAAAAATAAAATAAAACAATCAAACGGCCTTGTCACTTACTTATCTACTTATTTATGCATGTCTGTTTTCTTCTACTCTCGAGGGCAGGCTCTATGGAGGAGCAGCAGTCTCCTCCACATCCCGGTGCCTTGAACAGAGGGTGGGCCCTCTCCTCAGTGCTCAGTGAATATGTGAATGAATGAGTACCCAGACTCTGTCTAGACAGACTGACCAAGTTCACTGAACGTCTGTGCGCAGAGGCCTGTGCCAGGTGTTTTCGAGAGCGTGGGCTCCCTGCCCCCGCAGCGATCTGTAATCCACCTGAGGATACGAGGTACACAGGTGCACACCTGACTAGCAGCATCAGGTGAAGAGGTTTGGCTGAGCAAGGAGGCCTGCCTCTGGGGGCTGGTGGAGGTCATCACAGCTTCCCTAGACCAGAGTACCCAGGGTCTTGTTCAAGTGCAGAGCCCGGGTCAGTGAGTCTGTGTGGAGCCCGGTTGCTTCTTTGGGACCCCGGGTAGAGCTTTGTTATGACCTAGCGCTCAGTCTATGCTGTGGCTGCTGGTCTTGGGATCTTGGAGCAAGTGTTGCTAGAAGCTGAGGCTTGGAGAAAGGTCAGGCAGGAAGAAGGCGAGGCTGTGTTGGGGGTTGAGAAGGGGACTATGGGCAGAATTGCAGGGTGGGAGGGGGTAGGAGGGACTAGAACACGCCCTGATGGCTGGAGTGGCGAATAGGAACCAGATGGAAGGGCAAACCAGGAAAGGGGTGTGTGTGGAAAGGAGAGGGACAGTGAGGGAAAGTCCCCCAGCCACCATCACCATGGCACCCCTCCCCTGCAATCTTCTATTTTTAGAAGGGGTTCCTAGAAAAATTGAGACATGTCCCCGCCCTACTCTGCTCTGTCAACGTTAGATCATGTTTTCAGAAATATTGCAACCCAAGATTGCCCAACAGGTTCTTGTGGGAGAGGCAGAGCAGGCTCTGTGCCTGATGTTGCCGAAGGCGAGGGTTTGTGGGTAGAAGACTATGCCGCTGTGGCCACATGCCCAGTTCCGACCACCTGGGATGGGCATGTTGGCTTCTGAGGGATAGCCTTGCGCTTCGTTTTTGCAAACCGCATTCACATCTGTTACCTCATTTCAGCCTTACTGTATCCCTATTGAAGTTGGGAGGGCCACTGCGCATTTCACAGGTTTGGAAACCGAGGTCTAAAGAGAGAGAGAGAGAGAGAGAGTCAGGGCCAGCCCAGTCTCACTGGATGCAGAGCCCAGACTAAGACAGTCAGGGGAGGATTGCTCCCTGTTTCTTTCCCTTGCGTCCATGCTCACAGATGTGAATCTGTGCCCAAGACCTGCAGCCTTCCACCAGAGAAAGCCATCCCCAGAGGTCAGGGACTGGTGCTTTCTTGGTCAGTGGGCTTTTCTTGCTGTGACGGGATCCACTCTTGCCAAATGGCTGCTAGAGTGCCAGAATAGTCTAGAATTTCCTGAGGGTGGGTTTGGCCTCCATCAGCTCCCCAACCCGGCCCCCTTGGGAGAGAAAGGGGTGCAGCTGCGGAAACTGGCACTACTTCCCACATTGCCTGGAAACTAAGGTCAGGGCCAATTTCATGCTCCTTTGTCCCCTATTATGACCTTTATTTCCCTGGCACATGGCAGCTGTCTGTGTCCAACTGAGGCGATGGGAAGTATTTTATTGTTAATAGCACTCGAGAAGCGCAAGAACACCATTCCCACTGACTTGATTCTTCCTGATTTTAACAGTGGGTCCATTGAAAGTGGTGCAGGGCATTTGGGACAAGTTTTCACTCTCTTTGATAGAGCAGCAACTTAACTACATTTCTAGATTGTTCCATGCTCATCAATAAAGCAGGGCCGGTGGCTTTTTACCAAAAGGAAGAATTGAGGCAGCTCTCACGCTTCACATCTAAAAGCCTGTTGTGCAGAGAGTACAGGGGATCGGGAGGCAGTATTGTGGGCAGCAGTCTGGGATCAAACGCGTGCCTCTGGCAAGGACAGTGGCTTTGAGTTTGCTCCCTGTGCTGAGTGGTGGCTTGAGCGAGTGAGGCCGCTTGCACTGGCTGCTTCTCTGCATGCTTGCTCCATTGCATGCTTGCTCGGAGCTGGTGTAACAAAATCGAGGCAGAGGGACTTGCTCGCTGCTGCTGGAATGTCCCCCAAGGATGGCGTCTGGGGCACCCCTCTTCTCTTCCACCTTTCCCCTTCACAGAATTCTTTATTTATTTATTTATTTATTTATTTTTGTATCCTAATTTTATTTTATTTTTTTATTTTTTTATTTTTTTACAAATAGTTTATTGTCAAATTAGTTTCTACATAACACTCAGTGCTCATCCCCAAAGTGCCCTCCGCCATGCCCATCCCCCCCCCCCCCCAACATCCATCAGTCCTCAGTTTTTGTCAGCATTCAAGAGTCTCTCATGGTTTGCCTCTCTCCCTTTCCCCCACCATTTCCGCCCTTCTTCTCCCACTTGTTCCTCCGTCAAGTTCCTCCTAATCCTCCTATACGTGCAAACATATGATATTTGTC